TGATTTTTTTACGTAAGTTGTGTGATGATGAGGTGTCTCGACTGATAAAATTCGAGTGACAGCAGTGTGGGCTGAGCCAGCACCTTCACCCACACGGCTCCCGCTGGTCCCCGCACCCCACCTTTATGCCCCCCTCAATCCCACCGCCCCCTGTTTGCAGATATGAATGAGTTTGTTTACTCTCCGACGACCTCGTGATGTCTTTGCACAGACATGACCTGAAGTCATTATTGCTTTTGGGCTTCTCTGTTTCCATGGCGACTGTCTCCGGGTTGGCTACTTTCCCAAGGTCACCATGGCAACTATCAGAAGGGAATCATGCTTGGGATGCTTTGGCTGGATTTTTCATGAATGATTAGGATGTGTGACACGATGCAGACGTGGAAATGGGGAGGGTTTGGGCTGGGCTGGAGAAAGGGGGGAAAGAGAGAGAGAGGACTCCCGCCAGACAGGCTGTGTGCTCTGCGGTGCCGCCGGGTGTGCAACCCTTGAAGCCGCCTGTCGTTGTGCATCGGGGGGGGGGGGGGGGGGGGGGCGGGCAGGCAAAAACAGGGAGGGTGTGGGATGGGTGCCCGGCGGCGGTCGCCTCTCTCGCGGTAGGTACCCAATGGCTGGCCGTGCTGCCGTCACCGCGGGGTGAAGGTTTTGGGTGGAGGTGCGGGCAGGTGGATTTTCTGCAAGGCGCCGATCAAAGGGGCGTAGTCGCCGGCTAAGGTGATAGTGAAGGGCAGCGTCTCGGCAGGGGGAGGGCTCTCTGCCGGGGGGAGTGGCCTCAACGCTAGAAATGCCAGGCAGGTCAGCTCTCGCAGCCCGAGGCCAAGACGATGGGACAGCAATGGTCTTGGTGCATTGGGAGAGGCGAACTCCTGCCTTGCTTTGCTATTGGGGGGCTTTTGTTTCTGTTGTTTGGGTTTTCTGGTAGCGTCTCCTTTGGGTGGGGACGGCACTGAAAGCAGGTCACAAACCAGGCAGCTTCTTACTGGGTTGCTGATTCAATTTTGTGCTGGGTTAATAATAGTCAAAATAAGAATGGAGTTGTTGTCTTGTGGCTTTTCAGTGCCTTTTATGAGCGGAGGTAACTCTTAATTCAGTCTCTAATAGGCCATTCCGAGCGTCTGGGATCCCTCTGGAGGGAGGTGAGCCAGTGGCTGGGGGCGGGGGGGCAACCAAGCTCTGCGCTCCCCTTGAGAAGGGGTGGCATGGTGTAAGGTGGTTAGCTAACCGGTGTTTACAGGCGGGAGCTGGTACCCCGTCCTCATTGCTTAATCTTAGCATAGCGAATAGCAAAACATGAGGTCTTTAGTGTTAAAAGGCAATGCACTTGTCAACACAAGTTTCTCCTTCTTGTGTCTGAATGAGGTAAACTGATCTCTGAATCCATCCCAGTGCATTAAACAACTGCGTGGTTATTTCTTTTAATGGTGGTTGAGTTGGGGGTTTGGACCATGTGTTGGGTATCTTCTTCCTACCTTCATCTCTGAGATTGACCTGAAAATCTTGTTTTGTTTTTCCAGTTGCAATTTCTGAGCGGTTTTGTCCGGAAGACTGTGCTCAGGTTATGACGACTAATCCCAAACCGAACAAGGCATTAAAGGTAGGGAAGGAGGCCGCGTGGGCACTGCTGGGTCGCAGGGGAGGCTGTTGCAGGACCGTGCTCTGTGTGATGTTGGTTGTACATGACTGTTCTTTTTCATTCTGAGAGAGTCTTACAAATGGGTGCCAATACGATTTCCCACTAGCGACAGGAAAGGTTAGGGTAGAAGACGATACCTACTGGCAATACCCAGAGAGAAGTCTAAAGTCTCTGAGACGTAGGCTAGAGTATCCCAGTTGCTATCCAAGAGACTTTTGACTATAGCAGGTATCGGCAGCATCCTGAAAGCCTGAGAGGCACTGGGGAAAGGATGTGTTCAGCTGGTATCTCAGATCTGTGAGACAGTAAATGCCTCGGACATACCGGCTTGGTGGTGATCTACGCATGGGTTGTGCATGTGTTGTCGGGGTTTCTTTCCAGCATCTTAGCTCTTTGTTCCAGATGTTCTGCAGTCTCTGAAGAGACAAAAGGATGATGCCTTAAAGGTTCTGAAAATAATTGTGGCAGCAAACCTGCTTGAGAAAAAGGCACAAGGCATTGGTGTCTTTCTCGTGTAACTTCAGAGTCTGGCCTGCGCACCAGGAAAACCAAATCAGGCTGTGGTCCTTGAAGCCACGCGGGGTTGGTTTTGTTCACTACTTGGATGAGCATTCTTAAGGAAAAGCCACAAAATGCTGAATTAAACCCTGCATGCAAGTGGCTGTTCTGCTTTTGAGATGCTGCACTGATGTTCCAGCATAATGCTGGGAAAAGGTGTCATCTGTAGCATTCAGTATGAATTCTGGGTCTTGACAAAGGAACACAAAGGGCTTCACTCTGTTATATTTATCTCCTAAAAAACATCTTACTGTTTGGTTCACACTGGGTGTGTAAGGCTCGCTGCTTTCTCTGACTTAAGAGAGTGACCCAAACCCAGGCGACAGCAGTGCTCAGATCCCTGTCGTGTTTTACCCAGGTGTTTTAGTGGAGCACAGGCTCTCTACAGTGCTTCAGGGGTGTTTTCCAGGTAGGGCTGTCACATTGCTGAGGGGTGGCCTGTCTCTCTTTGCTGTCCAGAACATCTGTTCACGTAGGGTTGCTGCTACCCCTGTGCTGTTGGTATTTGCAGGTAAAGGAGGAGTCGGGAGAGAATGCCCCAGTGCTGAGTGATGATGAACTCGTGTCAATGTCCGTACGGGAGCTGAACCAGCACCTGAGGGGTCTCACCAAAGAGGAGGTCATCCGTCTGAAGCAGCGGAGGCGCACGCTGAAGAACCGGGGCTACGCTGCCAGCTGCCGCATCAAGCGTGTGACTCAGAAAGAGGAGCTCGAGAGGCAGCGGGTTGAGCTGCAGCAAGAGGTGGAGAAGCTGGCCAGAGAAAACAGCAGCATGAAGCTAGAGCTGGACGCCTTGCGTTCCAAGTACGAAGCGCTCCAGACCTTTGCTCGTACTGTGGCGCGAGGGCCCATTACCCCGACCAAAGTTGCCACCACCAGTGTCATCACCATTGTGAAATCAGCCGAAATCTCATCCAGTTCTGTGCCGTTTTCAGCAGCATCCTAGTGCCCTCGGTGCGGGGAACTAGCAGCCTTTCAGAGGGGAGGGGAAAAGGCTCTTATGCATTGTTCCGGAGTCCTTGGTCACGTCAAGAATTGGTATTTTAGCAATTCTCTTCCAAAAGTGCAAAAAGTAGAGAAAAAAAAAAAGAAAAAAAAAAAAAACAAACCCAAACCTACAAAGGGAACTTAACTGGCTGCTTCTATCTGGACTTGGTGACTCCATCAACCTCTCGTGTCCAGGATTTGAGCTCTGTATGCAGTACAAGTTGCAAGATCTGCTTCCTCCTTCCCCCTGCTTCCCCAAACCCCTCTCAGCCGTGGGCAGCTTTCCAGCTGGGAGAAGATACCTGAGGAGCCTCCGGAGTCTTCATGAATGATGCTCAAGAGCCAGGAAACAGATGGACCGTAGAAATCATCATGTGAGATGAAAGTATGGAAAAAAAACAGTTTCCTTTAGTGGCATCCTACTCCCTGTAAGAGGGGTCTCCCTTACCTTCCCCACTTCCATCTGATATTACGAGGGCAGGGATATAGGTTTTTTGGATTAGATTTCACCCTGCTACGAGTGGATGGGAGCGGGAGGACGACGGAGACTAATGCTTGGGTCTGACCACACCCGTTAGGAATAACCTTTTGTTTTCAATCCATGCTGTTAAAATATGGAAAAATATATATTTTACATATTTTAATATGCCCCATTACCTGTGTGGCCTATAAAAACTACATTGCAGCCTCCTTTATTCCAAGCCCAAGTTTCCCGATAGCTCCTTCCCTACGGTATGCCAGTGAATTGGGTATATTTATGCAGTTTATTTCTTCCAAATGATCCGCAGTCTTGAAGTAGTGGCGCTTTTTTTTTTTCTTGGATTCCCTGAAGCTTGAGGGAAGGAGGCACAGTGAATGCTGTGAAGAGCTGTGTGATGGGGAGGAGAAGGGGAGACGAGGAGGAAAAACGCTGCAAGTATTACCGGGTGGAGGCAGAACTGGCTGAGAGAAGGTGGGACAGTTCTGCTGGGATCAGCACTATGAGAAGGAGTTTGTGCAGAGTATTTCGGAAAGATGTTTTTAAAGCACTGAAGTGTAACTAGAGGGCAATAGCGTTCAGACGGGAGGAGAGAAGCTATAGAGCCTCCTCTTTGACAAAAGCATTGGTAGGTTAGCAGTGAACATCCCAGCTGGAGAGCTGGGCTCACCTGTCTTTGGTGACCGGAGAAGGGCTGTGGGGAGGTCGGACGGGAGCTGGAAGTGTCTTTTCCTCTCCATAGCGTGTCAGGCGCTGAAGTTGGGATCTAAGGAGTACGGAACCCTCAGTGTTCAGACAACCTGTGTGAATGTGACCCTGAAACTTGACGCTTTCTCTTGGGAATAGGTGAATTGTTCCAAGAGGCGCATGGAGGGCAGGACGAAAATCGGTGTGTGTAGGGGATGGAAAAATTGGGATCGAGAAGTCGTTCGTATGGCTCTGAGCAGCGGTTTGGGAGAAGGATTTCTGGCTCGGCAATGGGCAGGAGGTGGGAAGCGGAAAGGAGAGATTCTGCTGTTGCGCAGCAGCGCTGAAAAGACAAATGTTTCCAGGTCACTGTAAAAAAAAAAAAAAAAAAATAGCTATGTTGATGTTTGTGTGTTTTGTTGTTGTTATTTTTTTCTTTTTGAAGTAGGAAAGAAAAGGGATTGTGAGTTTTGCAGGGCAGGTCAGAGACTTGTGGAATGGACGATGCCTGTTGTCACGCAGGTGAGAAGAGAATGAGATTGCTGAAGTTTAAGATGAGGAGAAGAGCTTAGAGGATTTGGGCTCCAGAACAGAAAACAAAGATCACGGAGAATTCATGAGTGTTTTGGACTGAAAGAGAATAATCAAGTGCCACCGTTGTTGTAAAGGGGACAGTGAACTGGCATCCCACACCCGGTATAATTTGTTGTTTGAGGCTTTGTCTTGCCTTGAATAGCAGTAAGTTCATAGAAATTTAGTGAAGCCCTACTTGTCTTTGGAAGAAGTTGTTAGCTTGCTTTTTTTCTTTTTTTTTTTTCACCTTGTCATCGGAGTCTCTGGATTTCCCAGGAGGGTCCTTTGTGAAATAGGTTAATGAAAAGAGAAACCTCAGACTTGGTTCTCGTTCAGTCCTCAACATCGACATCCGTGACCTTACTGAGCCAGAAAGGGTGTAAGCGAAACGCTTCCTGAAGGCTCGTTACCCCTGCCAGATCCACGTGTTATGGAGGGGAGCAGGGAGTTTCCTTCAAGTGATTTTCCGACACATAGAGTTTGGATGACACTTAGCGTTACCTCATTTCTCCTCCACTCCCTCCCTATCTCCAAACAGGCAGATCGATGTCCTGTGTATCAGTACCAGTTATTGACTCCCACAGCAGAAGCTGAGGAAGAGAAAGATGTTACTGTCATTTCCTGGTCCTCTCATGTTCTCCAGCTCGCAAACATTGGAAACTTTCCCAGACCTTACAGGTGCCTCCGAAAACAGGCAAAATGGAGACTCCTGGCACTGTTGGGGCTTTAAATGAAAACTTTAATGAAAAAGGCCAGTTGACTTGAAAAATGCCCAAATGCTTCCAGTCTTTAAAACAGCTCCAGAGCTCCATAACATTCCTGGCTAGATAGGAACACCCTCTGGCTGCCCTTGACCCCCTCGCCCCGGCGGGGAAATCAGACCAGTCGCACTGAGGGGGACGGAGGTCGAACTGTGTTCTGTGGGGTCGTCTTGCTGTTGGAATGGGTTGAGAAACATATCTTTACGTGGCAGTTCCCTTGCGGCCAAGTATTTCTTTTTTTCCAGTTCTTGGAAGGGTGCCAAAGGCTTGTCCAAGTGATTGCTAGTTTAGTGCCGGTAGGCACTTAAATCTCTGGTCACTCGATAAAGAACAAGAGGCCTGGGTGTTGTTAAAGCTGTTGATACCATAGCCATGGTAGGTAATCCATATTGGATATCCATAAGGACCACGTGGAAATATTTAAAGAGAGAGAAATATATATATA